CGGATGACCTCCAGCAGCCAGAGGAGATAGCGATACCGTCTCCCAGGCCCATGCAAGACCATGATCCTTCAGAGAGGGAGCTATTACAAACTGAGAGGATGGCACTGCCATACTTTCCGTTTGTTCAAGCTCCATCTCTGGAAGATCAATCACAGGCTTGGGAGCTGGCGCTGCAATCCCCTCACCCTGTTCAGGATCCCCCTGAGGGTGAACTATCACAGACTGATAAGATGGCGATGCCACCTCTTCAGTTTGTTCAAGCTCCTCCTCAGGAAGATCAAGTGCAGGCTGTGAAGAAGGCAGTGCCATGTCCTCTGTCTCTTGGAGAGCATCTCCAGCCCCCACCCTCTGCTGCCTGATGGACTGCCGCACCTAAAAGATAAAAAGAATAATTATTAGAAAAGGACCAGAAAACCATATTTTTAGGTTTGAAATACACTGTGGGACGTGGGGACTGGTCATTTAGATAAGAACATAAAAATTTTAATTCCCATGTAAAATCAGATGCTATTTAAAAAACAAGAGGCCCATGGGCCACATCGCTCACCTGAGCACTAAGGGTAGGAAAAAGTAGAAAATGACTTTTTATTGTAAAGATTAAATCCAAAAGTAGTCCCATGACCAATCGGATTTGTTATTTTTTAGCAAATGATTTTTAAAGAATTTTCCCATATATACCTTTAAAAACTTTGGTCGGCCATTTTGGCCCCGCCCTACCCCTAGTGGTCATGATTTGAAAAAACTTGAATCTACACTACCTGAGGATGCTTCCATGTAAATATGATGAATTATGGATTTGTCATTCTTGAGAAGATTTTAAAAGAATTTTCCTATATATTTCTATGTAAAACTTTGGTCGGCCATTTTGGCCCCGCCCTACCCCCGGGGGTCATGATTTGAACAAACTTGAATTTACACTGCCTGAGCATGCTTCCATATAAATATGATGAATTATGGCTTTGTCATTCTTGAGAAAAAGATTTTTAAAGGATTTTTTCTTATATATTTCTATGTAAAACTTTGGTCGGCCATTTTGGCCCCGCCCTACCCCGGGGGGTCATGATTTGAACAAACTTGAATCTACACTACCTGAACATGCTCCCATGTAAATATGATGAATTATGGATTTGTCATTCTTGAGAAGATTTTAAAAGAATTTTCCTATATATTTCTATGTAAAACTTTGGTCGGCCATTTTGGCCCCGCCCTACCCCCGGGGGTCATGATTTGAACAAACTTGAATTTACACTGCCTGAGCATGCTTCCATATAAATATGATGAATTATGGCTTTGTTATTCTTGAGAAAAAGATTTTTAAAGGATTTTTTCTTATATATTTCTATGTAAAACTTTGGTCGGCCATTTTGGCCCTGCCCTACCCCGGGGGGTCATGATTTGAACAAACTTGAATCTAAACTACCTGAACATGCTTCCATATAAATATGATGAATTATGGCTTTGTCATTCTTGAGAAAAAGATTTTTAAAGGATTTTTTCTTATATATTTCTATGTAAAACTTTGGTCGGCCATTTTTGCCCCGCCCTACCCCGGGGGGTCATGATTTGAACAAACTTGAATCTAAACTACCTGAACATGCTTCCATATAAATATAATGAATTATGGCTTTGTCATTCTTGAGAAGAAGATTTTTAAAGAATTTTCCTATGTATTTCTTTGTAAAACTTTGGTCGGAAATTTTGGCCCTGCCCTACTCCCGGGGATCATGATTTGAACAAATTTGAATCTACACTACACTAAGTTTCATCTTTCCTGGCACAGTGGGTCTTGAGAAGAAGATTTTGTAAATATGCCACCAAATTTTTCATATATTCCAAATTATCTCCCCTTGAATGAGGGCGTGGCCCTTCGTTTGAACAAACCTGAATCCCCTTTACCCAAGGATACTTTGTGGTATGTTTGGTTGAAATTGGCCCAGCGGTTCTTGAGAAGAAGTCGAAAATGTAAAAAGTTTACTGACAGACGGACAGACCGAGAGACAGACAGACAGTCGGACGCCGGACAAAATGTGATCAGAAAAGCTCACTTGAGCTTTCAGCTCAGGTGAGCTAAAAATCCCTCACTGCTCATTAGAGCTGAAACAAATGTTCCAACATTCGTGAATGAATTGTTTTTCACGAATGTTCAAATGGAAAATTTGTATTTGAATACATAGTCAAATGTTTTATACCCTTATTTCATGCAAGGAATTGTGTAGGCCTTTCCATTAAGTTTTTGATCATGGATAAAAAAGGAGCAAACGGAAGCATTTACATGTATAAGGCAGGTTGTAAACTTTGCCCACATGGTACTCAAACTGGCCTAATAAAGGCATGACGTCAAATTAATTAATCATCTTCAAGCCGAACATTCATTAACCTTAATGTATTTTTGATTTAATTTAAATATTTAACATTGACCACCTGATGATTATCAAAAGTAATAAAAGATTTATATTGTGAGGAGAAAAATATAAAAATATTCCGGATCAACATACAGAATCAATTTTTCAGATTTATAGTTTATAAATAATTTCAGAAAGCATATATAAAAAATGTGTTTATATTTTAATTTTTTGAGAATATTTTATTTTAAATATAAATTTAAAAATTTAAGAGACGTTTCCAGAAAGAGACCGTTTTTGTCTTATCATTTGTCTTATCAATATAACAGTAAAACATGGCGGGCACCTGCTGGTTTGGTGATTGCGCGTTTTACGATGGAATGCAATATAGTGTCCTAATTTAAAGAAGTAAAGAAGCTTATGATTGTTGATAAAGATTCTTTTTCTAATCTAGTTTTTTTCTAAAAAATAAATACGAGTCCTACGTTTGTAATATACATTGTACATGTTTGTTGATACATTAAAAATTCTTTTTTAATTTAGTTTTTTCTTAAAAATAAACATGAGTCCTAATATACATTGTACATGTCAAAAGACTTTGAACACTGATTTCTTACATCTATCTTAAATACATACATGTAGATATATCATGTATATAGTAATAAACAATTATAGAATTTGCAAGTATACGAAAAGCATAACTCTTTTATTTGATTACCGAATGTTTGAATGCGAATCGAACAACATGAATATTCGAATGTTAATTTATGGTATTCCTTTCAGCTCTACTGTTCATATGCAGAAGTGCCAAGTACAACTAAAAGAGTTAAGGAGTTTATTTTTAAGGAGTATTCCACTTAAGTATAGTAGTGTGGTGTCTTTTTGCAACCTTGGTTTACTGGATAGATAGTAGCAATGGGTATTTTGTTTGATTTCATTGTGTATAACAAAGTATTTCTAATAAAATCATTGTGCATTCATAATGAATTATTAAACGCATCAAAACTATAAGCCAATTTTTAACAACCATCGCGCTAAAAAATGCCAGAACTTTTCCCCTCCATCAGACTACGGTTTTTCTGTTACATTTAAATGGGCCGAGACATTTACATTAGATACTATAAAAAGAATATCCGTGATATAAAATATTTTCCTTTCAAAGACGAATTATAATTATGTTGATTCACAATAAACAACAATTTCAATTTTCTATTCACAAAAACTCTAGCAATGTGGTCGCCCGCGTGGCGCAGTGGTTAGAGCGACTGCTCTAGAGTCGTGAAGTAAGGAGTCAATCCTTACGTCGCGGGTTCGAATCCCACTGCGGAACGTGGAGACAGGTCCTTCGGATGAGACCGTATAAACCGAGGCCCCGTGTCGCAGTAGGTGCTGGCACGAAAAAGATCCCTCACTGTTCAAAGGCCCTGAGTGCCGAGCATAGGACAAAATTTGTAGCCCTCCACCGGCAAGTGGTGGCGTCTCCATATGAGTGAAAAATTCTCGAGAGGGACGTTAAACAATATATACAATCAATCAATCTAGCAATGTGAATAAACCTGACTAAAACAAGAATAAACAAACAAGTCCATATGCTGGTCGATACATGATCAACTGAGTACTTTTCAACTTAGTGCTTGGTAGAATGTTTACTGTGGGCAAATTCCCCGAATGATTTTGGGTCAAGGTCATGACACACCCATAGGTCATGAACAATCTCTGTGTAGAGGAGTAGTTTCTAATGTCCCTCTGTAAGGAAGATAATGGACCAGACACATTTGCACAGACAGACGGGACATGATGTGAACAATTAAGAATCTACATTATACCAGGATGCTTCCACATAAGTTTCAGCTTTTCTGGCCAAGTGGTTCTTGAGAAGAAGATTTTCAAAGATTTTTCTTATATATTTCTATGTAAAACTTTGATTCCCCTTTGTGGCCCTACCCTTCCCTCGGGGGTCATGATTTGAACAATTTAGAATCTACACTATCCCAGGATGCTTCCACATAAGTTTCAGCTTTACTGGCCCAGTGGTTCTTGAGAAGAAGATTTTTTAATTACCAAACCCTATTTTTGTCTTTTCTTGATTATCTCCCCTTGTGGGGGGATATGTCCCTTCATTTTAACAATTTTAATTCCCCTTCACCCAAGGATGCTTGTACCAAGTTTGGTCAAAATTGGCCCAGTGGTTCTTGAGAAGAAGTCGAAAATGTGAAAAGTTTACAGCGGAGGGACTGAAGACGGACAAAATGTGATCAGAAAAGCTCACTTGAGCCTTCGGCTCAGGTGAGCTAAAAAGGGAAGTAACTCTTAGAAGAGTTAAAAATTGCTTATATTACAAATTTTAGTAATATTACGATTTTTCGTATTGGACTAGACTGTTAATGGCACAGGATAAAAATTAGGACAAGAAATTTTGGATTTGTATAGCCTTATCAACTTAGTTAGAATAATCTAACTGTGTCTCGGTACAAGCCCTCACCACAGTTAGAATACCACCCATATACTCGCAATGTAGCAAAAAATTGCAGAATCACAACGAAACGATTTTGAAGAATACAAACAGATTTGCACAGAAAATAACTTATAAATTAATCAAAACAAACCTTTTTGAGATTGCTTATGCCTTTTATCCCAAAAAATAATCCATAAAAATACGAAAATCCAACAAATTTTCTCAACGTTTTTCTCTCAATATTCAAACCTGTCATGTTTACATTCGGATCTCTCTAGATTGTTCTTAGTAAATGCACTAAGCGGGTTATTCTTTTTGCTACATTACGAATACACGGAACGAATTCTATCGTTTAGAATTCACAAGGAGTCAATAGTCCGTAGGACAATATCATTTTAACGATAGAACATTCTATCTATTATCAACTAAGAAATGGAGATTGTGTGTTATAATACTTACCGGGAAGTCCATCACGTAGTCGGCGTGCCAGGCAGGGCGACGCCGAATCCTCGAAGACCGTCGAAGCTCCATCTAAATAACAACAAGAAAACCTGATCAGTATATACACAACACGGTTATTTTACATGTACATGATTTTTATAATAATTAATTCACTAATAACAGTGATTGGGAAGGGCTTGCGCCACGCGCCATAGTCGCATTGAAGTGAAAAATGGCGCATTTAATCAATTAACCATGGCGCCAAGGTGCGCAATCAATTTTTAGCGTTATTTGGAAATATTTTGTGTATGACTTTCTTTTTCTTGTTTTACTTTCGTTTTAATAGTCTCGTTCAACCAGCCCCTCGGATGTCTCCATAAATATCCGACCACCCAGAGGGTCTGGTAAAGATACGCATTAACGATTGTAACGCCAAAACGAGGTTTACCAAAATTCTGGTAAAGTTTTTGATTGGCTGAAAAGAACACACCTACGCGATTTAAATAAATACATGATAAATCAGATGTGAAAATTATGTGTCTAAAAGTTAAAGATGGTAAATAGGAATTATTTACGGTAATGCCTAGCAGTTATAGGTAAGTGTGTTTCATTATGTCATGCAAATATTCTGTACGAAAGCAAAAGTGATTCAAGTAGCGTAGCCCGACCTGCGTAATACACATTCCTTCGATTGATATTGTTATTTTTCGTTTGGAGTCCCAAATTAAAGATTAATTTATCAATATAAAGT